ATTAAATTAATTAATTATAATGAACGTCGTAGAGTTATTGATATTAAGTTCAATTCTCATTATATATATATATGGTAGAATGAAAAAATAATTAATTCATTTCGCCTTATCTTAAAAAAGACGAAGAAGAAAAAAAAGAAGGATAAGAAACTGTTAAAATCATGAAAATTTCCTTAAACAAATTCTTTTTAGTTAAGTGCTATATAAAAGGTAATATAACTTTCTAATTCAAAATATTATTTCCTCTTATAAAAAATAATTTTTTCTCTTCTTTTTTTTTAGTGATGTCTCTTAAATTCATATTAAGTAAATAATTTGAATCTTTTCATATTATTTATCACAATAGTAAGATCATACAAAAATTTTAATAAAATAAATTATGTTTGAAGATTATTCTATTTCTAATATATAAAATATTTAGCACGTGATTTGATAAGATTAATAATACTAATAAGATAAACATTAATATTATTTTAAGAAAGTGAATTAAAAATTTAATTAGTTTTATAAAATAAAAATTAATCCTCATTTTACTTATTATTATGATACTATTTTTAAGTTGTGGTTTGATCATTTACAACAAAATATAAAAATTGAATTTTATGAATGTGGCGTAATTAAAAATTAAATTTTTATTGTGTTTTTAAATTTCTAAAAGATGAAATTTTTATATGGCAAAATGAAAATAAAATCCGGAAAATGCGAATTAGGTTTGAGTAATAAGTAATAACCGAGAGGGTGAATGAAAGGGTAAAAGAAAGAAAAGTTAAGAGATGTTGGAGTAGACTAGTATGACGGTAGGAGTAGGGACACCTGAGGGATGAAGTATGAAGCAGAAGCACACAGAACACAGTGAGACATTCTCATCTACGCGTCAATCGGCCTTGAATGGCGGATTCTCAGCAGTGTTTCTGATCTGACTACGAGATATTAATTTATGAACAAAATCAATCTTGGGAAAACAACTACATCAAAAAATATCCACACCTTGCCAGATTGATTTCATCCTCAATCTCAACACTTTTCAATTATTTTTTGCCAAAAGTCCAACACCATGCAATTTAAGGCTATGTTCGTATAAAAAAAAAGGTTAGTAAAAAATACTGAAATTAAAAATATAAAATTATATAAATATTTACTTTTTATCACTATTTTTTTCTTCTATATCACATGTATTTAACGGGATTATTACGAAGGAAAAAGTTTTCATATCTATATATTTTAATTTTAAATTTAACATCACTAAAACACTAGTTGATTTACACGTTTGATAATAATAATTATCATTATTATAATTTTTATTTATAAAAAAATACAAAGTCCATAAAAGTTGACTAGACTTTTTACTAAATTGGTATCCCTTAATCTATGATTGATCAAGATTGTATAGAATCTTGACTATATGCTAATAAGTAACACAAAAGTTGGTATCCAATTGCAAATATACCTAGTTAAGTTGTGGTTGGTTTGATTGACAATCTAACTTTGTTTTTTTTTAATGGTTAAAAAAATATTCAATTAATTTCAATAAGTTTTCTTAAGAATTAAAGAGAATTAATCCATCAAATTTGCATAAAAGTGTATATATAATTTAGAATAAATAGTTCATATTTTGATTATGTTGTACCTTCTTGAAAAATATTTTGAGAAAATTGTCTCAACCTTTTTGTATTTGTGCTCGAGATTAAAAGACCAGTGTACCTTTTTAGGATAATCCAAGAAGATTATTTTGTATATTTTTGTGAAAGTTCTCTCTTGACATACCACTTTTTTATTGACCAAATAGTGTCACTCATGATCTTAATTTAGAGATATCATTTACCCCGATTCAAGTTTGACATAGACATATCAATAATATATGTTGATGTCTCATGAATTACCTTCATAAATGTTTGGATTCAGTATACAGTATAGAGATAGCCACTTTGAGATTTTAGAAGATTGTTCTTAAAATCTCAAAATTTGAATATACAATATACATAAGTGTAAACTTTAAGGAGTTTTGGTATTGTAGATGATGTGTTGTTGATATGTATTTATGTGTTATTATTTAAAATTCACGTTAATTTTAAGTTTTTATTTATTTAAAATCTGTCAGTTATATTATAACTGAAGTTTACATTTTTTTATATTTTTTTTCATATCTTTCTCGCTTCCTCGTTTTTCCCCTTTTTTTATGTTATCTCTCTCACACTGGATTCAATTTTGGGAGTTCACGGTTTTTATTTTTCAGGTTTTCCTCTATCTCTTATAGGTTTGATGAGCCATTTTATTATTTTTAACTTTTCTTTATGTAGTATTCATGGATGGTACTTGATGTTGCAAGAAATAATAGAGAAAATTATGATAAACTGAACAACTATCATTGTAGCACACCGCCTTAGCACAATAACGAATGTTGATATGATTGCTGATATTCATCAAGGAACAGTAGTAGAAAATGGTAGATATATACTATGTTGCCACATAAATGAAACTCATTATGGCAGTTTTTTTTCAAGTCTCTCTCTCGCACACTAACACAAATGCTATCGTTTTTCCTTCACATATGCATCTTTGATTATTGCATTCTTATATCTTTCAACTGATTAGGTATACATGCTGAGCTCATAAAAGATCCTGATGGAACTTATAGCCATTATCCTAAATATCGATCTTTCCATTCTCAGATAGAGTTCTTATGATTATAGCACAAAGGATTTACTTCTTGTTACTCATCTCTCATATACATTTAAAATAACAAATATTTTTATGCAAACTAAAATATATATAAAATGAAAATATTTCATCACCCCCAAGAATTTAAGAAATGAGTACAGAATCAATGAATGTTAAACCACAATACCAAAATTGAAAAATCTTGTATGAAGCATAAAAAAAAGCATAAAACTGAATTTATTCACCATTCATTTTCTTAGTTGCTACCACTATAGTACTTAAGCTGGACACTTGTAACTTTTACAAAAAATTATTAAATTTTATATAGAATTTTGAATATACAAGATGACAATATCTCTAATAAGGACACCTCCAACACTTGCTCAACTTCATAGCCCTACATAGGGAACAATAAAAAACATCACAAAACAAGCATCTTCATTTTTTACCCACAAGCAATATCAAGACTCACAGGAATCTAGGGACAGGTCAGAATCAATTGCAGAAAATTCAATTAAAAATGATGCATCAAAAATCAGAAATAAACTGCAATTAAGTAAAAGAAAATAGAAAAACATGTGAGAGTAGTCGACAGAAACAGATCAAAGAAGGGGATTTAGACAATAGGAAAAAAAGTTGGTCACTTACATGAAGATCGTAAGTTTATTAACCATAATGCACCATTCTCAAAATCACAAAAATCCTAAAAAATAAGTGCAAATATGATGAAATAAATAAAATTTAAATAATTAAAAATAAAAAAATGATTTATACATGCAAAATCGTTCACAGCAACATCAAACACCATCCATGAATACTACATAAAGAAAAGTTAAAAATAAGAAAATAGTTCATCAAACCCATAAGAGATAGAGGGAAACCTGGAAAATAAAAACCTTAAACTCCCGGAATTGAATCCAGCATGGCAGCATGAGAGACATAAAGAAAAAAAACAGAGAAAAACCAAGAAGCAAGAAAGAACCGAGAAAGATACGAAAAAAAATAAAAAAAATGTGAACTTCTATAATATAACTGACGTAAATTTTAAATAAATAAAAACTTAAAACTAACGTGAATTTTAAATAATGACACATAAATACACATAAGCTGTATATCACTTATAGTATTAAAACATTTCTTTTATAGAGAGTTTAATAGTAATACCCTTAATATTTTTCTCCGGTTTATGAAGATTAATAATTATTTCACGTCCTTCACACTACAAGTCACTAATTTTCCATATTACTATTATTTTAAATTAGCGAGAAAAAAGCACTGCTGAAAAAAAAATTGTTCAGTTAATTTTAAAAGAATAAAATAATTAAATAAATTAGTTAAAAAAAATATAAAAACTTAAAAAGTGGTGATACTAAATCAGAATACCTCTCTATCAATGTTATAATTAGATATACTCATGATACATTATTAATCAAATAAAATGTATCATGGTCAACGCCTAAAATCAAAGAGAATTGTTTAGTAGAATTTTGAGCTAACATTGTTTTTCCGATCTTGACTAATCTTCTTCAATCATTCTCCACGAAGAAATCTCTTTAAAATATAAACATCAATAAACACAGGCTTAAAATTAAAATTCAAAGAATTCAGTGTAACAGACAACAATAGGAACAAAATAGAATGCAAATCCCAACGATATTTCACTTCCTTGATGTTAATTCCAACATCAGCATATCTTCTACTAGTACATTGTAAACAGCAACCTTTTACCACAAATGGCACATCGACGTCGACAAGAAAAAATGTTTATAACCCACACGAGGCAGCAGCACGTGTGTCATATCGCTTCAAACAAGCTTAGCATAAATACTCTCTAATTCATCACAACCCCACAGAAAAAGAAAGATACACACACAATCTTCGTACCATTCATTACACCGTTCTCTTCGCCTTTGACCAAGAAGAAACGGAGTAAAACGACGCCGTGAAAACGATTCGTAAATTTGACGGCGCGGCATTGACTCCGGTCAACGCTGCCAATCACTGTGCGACGTCGTTCACAAGTTCCGAAGATTGACCAAAATCTCGCGAGATTTCGTTGGGGTTGGTGACGTGTCATTAATACCTTACTTAGTAGCATAGTGTAGGAATCACAAAAAATGTGTGTTGAGATCACAGACGAAAGTGGATTTCAGAATCTCAGCGCCATCTTCCAAAAAACATAAATAAAAAGAGAAGATTTGATTTTTCCAAAAGAGACTTTATTATTATTACTATTATCATAAAAAAAATAAAAATAAAATAGAGCGGTGACAGGTGGATATAGAACAACAACATAACATGTCACATTACATTACTACTCACTGTACATTATGGTATTAGATTTATATGACACCGTATTTAAGATTTGCCCACCCACGTTAAGGAATCCTCTTTCTCCTCTTTCTCTTTCTCTTTCTCTTTCGCTTTCAATTATCGATCTTTGCTCTTTTGCCTCCATGGACACCAACGGCGTCGTTTCCTTTGATGTCTCGCCGGAGGATTCCCACGAGGTTCACGTTTTGGCCGTCGACGACAGCCTCGTTGATCGAAAGGTCATTGAACGCTTGCTCAAAATCTCAGCTTGTAAAGGTAACTAAACATAAGGCACATTTTTTTTATTATATTTTTTACTCTTTTATCAGTGTTTGGCTAAGGATTTTCGTTTGTTTGTCTGGATGGGAAAATTTTGCAGTTACGGCTGTGGATAGTGGAATCAGAGCACTGCAATTCCTGGGGTTGGACGAACAGAGAAGGGCCTCTGAATCTGATAGTTTTGTCGTATGTATCATAAGAAATTTCATTTTCATGGAATTTTATTTTCCAGACCTTAATTTTCTGTTGTTGTTTTTTTTTCTCTCTTTAGCCGAGTTTGAAGGTGGATCTAATTATCACAGACTATTGCATGCCCGAAATGACCGGTTATGAGTTGTTAAAGAAAATCAAGGTTAATTAAATATTCAAATAAAAAAAACTTCATTTTTTCGTGTTATTGATATAATTTTTAAGTGAAAACTTAAGAAAATTTAACTTGTTGCAGGAATCAACCACGTTCAGAGAAATCCCGGTAGTGATTATGTCTTCTGAAAACATTTTGCCGCGCATAGACAGGTATCAATGTATTGTCATTATGAAACTCTAGATACATGGTTGCATTTTAGTTTTTTTAACACTATAGACTAAAATTAGAAAATTGAAAGAATTTGGAATGTTTGAAAACGTGTAGATGCTTAGAGGAAGGTGCAGAGGATTTCATAGTGAAGCCAGTGAAGTTATCCGACGTGAAACGGTTAAAGGGTTACATGACACCGAGAGAGGTTAGAGAGCGAAGCCAAGAGAGAACAAGTGTTGAGGGGAGTGGTGGTGGTGTGGAGATCAACAACAAAAGAAAGCTGGAAGAGCAAGAAATCTCCGACGTGTCATCATCACCGCCGTCCATTTCTACGCTTTCATCATCACCGTCTGATTCTTCGCCGTCGCCGTCGCCGTCATCTTCTCCCACGTCTTCGCCCAGCGTACTCGCGTCTCCAATCAGACGGCTCAAAATGAGCAGCAGCACCACCGATTGACTCTCTGTTACGCCATCCACAGCTGCATTTCTTTTTTTTTTTGTTAAGATTTATTGTTTTTCCTCTTTCGGGGTTGGAACCGCAATTACCCGTTGTCTGTAACGGTTTTTGTTGCAATATTGCCCCTAATTTATTTTGTTTGTTTGTACGAAGGTGGGTTATAAAGTTATTAAAGTATATTATGTGGCAAAAAAAAATGTTGTTTTTCTTTGTTTTGGGAGAAAGGGTAGCGAAAAATTGAATTGAAAAAGATTATGGGCTTTTGGTGAGATGAAAATGAGGAAATAATAAAATAATATATGGTGTGGAAATGATGTGGAATATAGTTTTGCAAGATATTGTGTGGAGTAAAGAATGGGGATGTGAATTGGGGAGGGAAGAAGGGTGGGGTCTTGGAACTGATGTACTTGTCTGGTTGTCTCTAATGGAGGAGGTTTGGGTGCAATAAACCTTCTGCCATATCAGAAAACATTGCCTCTGTCATGTGGAAGAGGAACCAGAATATTTGGTTGTTGATACTGGACCATACTCATCCACATGTGCCCTGTTTCACACTTTTCCTTTTTTCATCTTTTTCCCATCTTTTTTTTTTTTTTTTTTTTCACTCCTCGTACCTTTTGGACGGAACACAACGTTTGACTAGCACAGGTTCATATCTTTTGGTTAGACTTCATTAGGTGATCATGTAAATTTAAATTATTATAAAATATGTATTTTGAATCTAACTCAATATTATAAGATAATAATTATAAGAATTATTTTCAAATATTTTATTTTAATTATTTATTAATCAATATGAAATTTTTAATAAAAAAATTTAATTCCATATAACATATTTGAGGATAATCTTTTTTTTTTTTTTTTAAATATATGATGAGAAAATATACTCCAAATTTATATATATATATAAAAATATCTTAGGTGAAACATTCTTAAATTGATATATATATATGTATATGTGTGTGTTTATAAACCTGATTCATCTAATGTCCTAAAATTCATAATTCAATGACTAATTTATATTTATACAATGTGTCATCTACTCGTCAAGATATACTCTAAACAATTTCTGAATTAAACTATAAATTTACAAAATTAAAAAAACTAATGAAAATTTCAACAATTGCACAGAACAGTTTCTGAATTAATGTGACATCCCATATTCACAGTTGTTAGTTTTACTTGCTTGACCACCTTCTCTTTTGGAAGCAATCTCAACCACTGATAGCCTGTTTGTCTTGGATTTCCCTGGCTTGCTAACTGGAGAATCACGTTTTGCAAAGCAATTGTTTCAAGAAAAAATATCAATAGTTGAATGAACAACCATTCGGTGGGGGTTCCAATGCCAAAACAAGTGGACTGGGAGTCGAGTTCCCTAGCTACAGCTTCCCCTAATTGCATCTTACAATTGATGTGGTTGTAAAGATTTTGCTCACACTAAATTTACCACTAAATAGGTGAAATGCTTTTGAAGTTTCTCTATACCAACTTTAAAGAATTTTTTCTTTCGGTATAGTGAACTAGGAAAAAAATATGTATATCAAAAATGTGTTTATATTGTAAATACAATTTAAGTAAATAAATAAGGGTATTAAAGTATAACTTACACTTGTTTTTTTTTATTCATCATAAGTGTCATCTTAAAGATAAAAAGGACATTATGTAGTCAAAGATTTACTTATTTGTTTTTGAAAAGTAATGTATGGAAGATGTCTTTTAAATGTTAAGACATACATGTAAAAACTTTCATATTCAAAAGTTTTGAAGTGTCAAAGTACACGTATAAAATATTTTACATCTAAAAGATTTTAACTCAAGTGATTTGATACTTGTACTTTTTAATTAAAGATCGAGATCGATCCTCATTTTGGATATGAAATTGTGACTAGAAGTATCACTTTATTTTTATAGGGAAGATTTGATAAGAAGGAATTATACCTCTTTATCAAATAGAAAAAAACTTTGACATCCAAGTCAATAAAGTAACAAAGGATAATATCTCAGAGGTAATTACATAGTATTTATAGAAGTGAATAAGTGACATTTTTGTAATTTAACTTTGTTGTACCATCGTAGTTGTTCTAAAGATTACTTTAGATCATAAGTGATGCTAAATATTTTTTTTTTTGTATATAATGTATATTATTGTGTCAATAGTGGTTGAGTGATTTTAAAAAATAAATGTACATTGAGCGAATAAGTAGTTGTTTCAAGATAAATGTTATTGACTAAAAGTCAAGAGTTTGAAGATATTAATAGGTTAATCCAATAGTTGGTGGCATGAAAAAATAATTGGTTCTAAGTAAAATTTCTTTCAAGTATAAATCTATCTAAAATATACTTTTATCATACTATAAAAATAACTAATTTAATAAATATGTATATTAAATGATGGGGACCACTCTAGTTTTTTCAAGAGTCTTAATTTTAAATTTCTAAGAATGGAAATGCATTAAAAGCATTATTGATAGCATATTTAACTCCTAAATTAGTCAGATGTTAAATAATATTAGGATAGGTTAAAAAATGATAAAATATATATAAAAAGAGGTGCATGTGAAGTAATTATAATTCATTCAATTGAATATATAGAAGTTGGGCCTATCTAATCAAACATGGATAGTTATATTGGGGGTCCATAAAACCCAAATTGCAGGGCATAATAGAAGAAAGATGCAGACAAAGTTTCCACTAGCCACCAATATTGTATTTGTCGGCTGGCCCCATAATAATCCAGTGCCCTTTAAATGATAATTGTGCAAAGTTTGGTTTTAATCATGTCCCTCATGTTTGGCAAAAATATGATACGTAAAATCTGCTTTCTTTTGTTTGATTCTGTTACTATGCCATATCTCATATCTGGGCCTTGTAATATTTGTTGTTATCATTGTAGACAAAAGACTCATATCTGAAATGCATTTTTTGTTACCTAATTGGGCTAAATTTAGATGCTTAAATGGGAATCGTCATGAGCCAGTTGCAGAATAAAGAAATTCCTTCACATTCACTCACCATTCAACAATTATTCTGCATGCCTATTGGCTAGAGGGTATTTCTGCTTGTACATAATCAAAATTTGGAATTCATTACAACTTTGTTGTTTATTTTTATATAATGACTTTGAGAAACTATTTTTATTTATTTATATATAATTCAATAATACCCTCAGTCAATGCTCAGCGTTTTCAAAACTATTTATAGTTTATAAAGAGTGTTTCAACTACTAATTAAGTTCAAACTGTTTCAGCGGTTGAAGGACATTTTTAATAGTTAAAGGTTTTAATTCATAATAAAATATTGACTAAATTATACTTTTCATTTTTTTTTAATCTTATTTGTTAAATTTATTTTGGTTCTTTGTTTTTTAAAATATTTATTTTAGTATTTTATTTTATAAATTTAAACCAATTAAATTTTTTGAAATAATAATTTTTAATTTTGAGATATAATTTTAGATCATCTTTTAACTAATTTAAAACTTTGAAACTTGTCTAATTATATTCATCTGTATATTCAAATAAAAGAGGGTTACAAACATGATAAAAATTGAATGAAAATAAGTTCAAAAGATAATTAAAAAAATTTAAGAATATAATTTCATACTATTTTTTAATTATTTACGAGACATATTTTTCACACAATTTTTATTATGTATTGAATTTCATAGTTTTTATATAGTTAAATTTAATGTTACAAGTTTCATATTTTGGATCAGTTGATTCAAAATTGTGTTGCAAAATTCAAAATAATTATTATCTAAAAAAAACCAAGTTGATCCAAATATAAAAATAAAAAAACTAAAATAAATATTTTTAACTGATAAAAGACTAAAATGAATTTAAAAAATAAAATAAAGAATAAAAATATTATTTAACTTAAAATATTTGAGGGGGACATAATCTTAATACGACAAATAAAAATTAATCCCATAATTAAAAATGACATATATATATATATATATAATATAATTGACGCTTAAAATATGAGAAAAGTTATATATGTATTACAATTGGCACTTGAAATGATTTTGGTATAGACAACATAATTTTATTTTTATATTTTACTTATGAAGTTGCTCGAAAGAATATACTATTATTTGAATTAAAAATGTTTATTAATATTTAAAACACTATATAGTATAGTTGGATTTTTGTTTATCTAATATTATTTTGGTACCAACCGAGTAAATGTCCACTTGACTGACTTTATATTCATGATTATTAGTTTAGCTGGCTTAAGTTGATAATGTAGGACCTCACTAATTACGCCAAGCGACTCTATTAACTCGTCAAAACCATGTTAAATTTTCTTCTATACACAATTATTCCCTTTCTTACTGTTTCAAAATAATTCACATCATATACAAACATAACTATATTTCTTAAATACGTAAGGAAATTGATTCTCATGCATGTATATATATATATATATATATAAACATTTATTAAAAAATTAACCAATTATTTAAATAAATCTCCATATTTCAAAGAATAAATTTTTTTCATGTATAAGACATTCTAGTTCTACACTTAAGAGTCATGGTGTAATAACTTGGTGACAGAGAAGATGTTGGTGGCGACTATAAAGGCAAAATTGACGCAATGTTTTGAGAGGTTTGATTTTGTGCGTCAAATTAGCTGACCCATCACTCATGCACCAACTTTAAACAACTTTGCATTACAAAGAACCTTCTAACAACTTCACTGCTCCATTGTCTCATAATAAATATTGAATAAAAGAGAAATATTATTTTAATTTTTCAATGTGATATTACTTTTTTAACAATATTTTTAAAAATTATTCACGTGTTAAATCATTTTTAATAAAAAAAAAGATTAATAAAAATATTATTTTATAAAATTATCATTATTTTTAATCCATTTATTTATTTTTTATTGGATTGTAAAAAAACATAAAATGACACTAATTATAGAATAGAAGAAGTATTAATTATTGAGATTTGATTTTTTAAGTGAAAAGATAGTATTTTAAATGATAAAGTGTAATCAAATCAACATAATTAAAGTTTTATGAAAAAAATATATCACAAGAAAAAATTTCAATAGTGATATATGATTAATCAAATTCTTCCATAAATATTACTCATTAATAAAGTTAATAAATACCTTACATATATAATTTTATTATAACAAATATAATAACAAAATTAAATAAAACTAATTATTGAGATTTTAATTGTTTATAACTTTTAATGTGTGTGATTTTATCATAATTAACAATTTAAATATATGATTGTGAATATTCTTCATCTTCTTCTAAAATCTAAATACACTTTCTTAGTGTAGATGAGCCAAATCCAAAACTTTTAAATTAATACACATAAATTAAGA